GATTGCATAGAAGGCAGTGTGGTTCGTTTTTGCACTCTACCGCCTTATGACCTTCCTGCCCACATTTTATACAAAGTTGTTCTCTATTCGGCCCAGTGCACTGCTCCTTCAGATGTCCACTCCCCCAACACCTGAAACATCGCTTATCATGTTTCCTCTCAGAGAATCTACAGGTAGTCCAACCAATTTTTGCTGATTTAGCTTCCAGTAGTTTTTCAGCGTCATTTTCGTGTAATATGATTGTAGCGTTTTGCTTATTGCCATAGGCTGATCGAAGCGCTCTCACTTCAAACTCTTCCGTTTTTTTTTAATAATCTTTGAAATTAATTCACGAATTTCATCCTCGGTCACCACCTCATCCATTCCCGTAACATGGATAGTCTTGTTGTTTTTGAGTAGGTAAGGCGTGGCTTCCGGTACTTTTTCTTCCAGTTACTTTTTAAGTGCTTCAGCTTTGCTCCATCCATTCTGAACTGTTAGGATGACTTCATTTTTTCTACTCTTCCTGATTTGCCTGATTTCAGCACTCACTTCTACCACTGTCTATCTATCTATCTATCTTTTTTTTTTGTCAGAGGAGAGGAAATCTTCAAAAAGACTACGATCGTTCCGTAGTGGTGGATTTTTACCACCTAAAACCTCTCCTCACTGAGCTCCAAGTACTGGGACCGCTTTTGCATTACTTCGGTACTTGGGCTGCTGTCTCATTATTAATGCTTTATATAACCATCTATGTGTCTTCTTTTGACATATATGACATATGTATATATACATTTTTTTTTATCACCTATCCTCCACTTCTTTGGTTTCGATGATAGATAGTACTGTGTTATAGGCATAATTCCATGGTTTTTCTTCACCCTGAGGACTTTGCATCATGTTCTCTGCGCAGAAAATTCTTCCCGTTTTGCGTAAAAATGCAGTTCTTGCGTCTTGCCATCTTGTACAGATGAAAAGTGTATGCTCTACGTCGTCCTCTGCTTGACAATACGGACAATTTGGCTATTCAGCTCTCCTGCGAACATAGAGGTATTTGCGGAAACAACCATGTCCCGAAAGTGCCTGGGAAAGGAAATAATCCACTTCACCGAAAGGTCTATTGATCCAGACCTGTAAATCAGGTATTAAGGAGTATGTCCATCTTCCATGAGTTCCTCCTTCCCATTTTTGTTGCCAGCTGTACATTAAGTTACCTCTTGTAATCGATTTCGGTACGCCTGAATATCGGTTTTTTTCTCTCGCTAGCTTGCAGTTCTATTGGAGGAATTGCCGCTATGACGCCAGCCGCCTCTGCGGATATTTTCCGGTATGCGCTGCATAATCTTATCGCCAGTTTTCTCTGTACTTGGGTGAGTTTTAGTAGTAGCTTTTTATTAGTGAGGGCTGTGTACCAGCAAGGTGAACCGTACAGCATCTGGGAGTGCACCACGCTGGATATGATTAATCGTTTCGATGCCCTGGGGCTACCTATATTCGGCATTAACTTTGCTAGTGCAGCCACGTTTCTGTCGGCTTTGACTACAATTTGGCTTATATGTTCAGCGAAGGTGAGTTGTGTGTCTAGCCATATACCCAGATATTTCACAGCTTTGCTAAGTTCAATCGTTGTTCCTCGGATATCAAAACTTATTGGTTTCAGTTTCCTTCTCTTGGAGAGAAGGACAGCTTCTGTCTTCTCGGGAGCCAATTCCAAGCGCAGCCGGTGGATTTTTTCTGAGATACGGACCAGTCCCCTGTTCGTTAAGTTTACCAGAAGGTCTTCTGATTTTGCTGTGACTATCGCAGCAACATCATCCGCAAAACCGATAAGTTTTATTCCGTCAGACATTTCCGATTTCAGAAAGTCGTCATATAAAATGTTCCATAGAGTGGGGCCCAGCACCGATCCCTGGGGTACACCACTACTTATTTTAATAGATTTGACACTTCCTTCACTCTCCAGTATTACCTCCCTTTCCGACAAATATGAGAAGATAATACTTATTAGGCTCTCCGATATCCCTCTGTCCACTCGGTCAATTTATATCGTCTGTGATCACTGAAATCCATGTCCCACTCAGGAGATTTAGCATTGAAATCTCCGACTACAATGGCTTCTGCGTTATTGGTGCGTACCAAGTGACTCCTCCAAGTCTTCGATTTCATCGTTATCAGATGAGTAGCAGCTAAACAACATGAACCTAGTAGTTTGTACATAAGTAAATCCCCTGCCGCATCCCTGCCTCTTGATCGTAACATTGTTGCTTAACACTTTAATAGCTGTCTTGAAGTCGTCCCCGAATACCCAATCTAGTCTACCACGGATGGCAGAGATATTGGGTTTACTGAGGGCGATAATCTATCTATCTATCTATCTATCTATCTATCTATCTATCTATCTATCTATTTATCTATCTATCTATCTATCTATCTATATAACTATCTATCAAAGTAACTCACGTCAAGCAGAAAGTCAAGAATTCAATCTCGATAGGTCATGTACCTACCTGTTACGATAGCTCTACTTCATACATGTCCAGCATCATGAATACTGGCCTCGAACAACAAAGTTAACAGTGTTCACTTGGAGCTGAACAAACCAAGAATACGACTTGGGGTATCTGTAGAGTAGGGAGGGTGAGTGTAGGCCCACAGCACTTAGGCCACATGTGACCAATTGTACATCCTTCCAAGGAGTACTCTTCCTAGGTACCTGGAACGCTCACTTGGAAAAAGTTTTACACAAAGTCAGACTGCCTCTATGGACATGTCGAAGGATTTGTGGTGAAACTTGGGGTTCAGGTCCCAAACAAATCCATTGGATTTATGTGATGATTGTCAGACCAATGATCACGTATGGTGCAATTGCTTGGTGGCCGAAGGCTTTACAGAAAACGGCCCAAGCAAAGCTCTCTGGCTTACAGAGACAGGCTTGTCTGGCTATCAGTGGTGCCATCAGCCGTCAGCGGCCATGGAGATCCTTCTAGATCTACCTCCTCCCCACATTTTTCTGGAAAGTGTTCACACATCCTGCATAGAGGTGTGTCCACTAGCCCCATATTATGGAGGAGTTTCCTGAGTTGACAGTGGCCAGTCAGAAATCCTACTGTTAGATTTTTCCTGGTCATCGCCAGATATTTCTTTGGCAAGATTGCATGCATCCTTTGATTTCATCCCATCTCTTTAGGGATTGAGCATGGGTATAACGTTTTACTAGTTCGACAATTGTCGAAGTCATCAGGCCGTAAGTGCCACTGGGTCCTAAAATTCTTAGTCCAGCCGCTTTCTTGGCTGAAGATTCGGCAATGCGATTACCTGTCGTTTCCTTTAATCCATTTCAGAATAATGTTATTATCTACAGAGGCTTTGGCTAAATCTTGGTGGCACTCTAGTACTAGCCCTGAGGTAACACGTTGTCTGTTCAAGGATAATAGATCTTGTCTGCTATCAGTGCAGTTTGTTATGTTTTTGCCAGAAATTTATTTCCTGGTTATTTTTATTTTGTGGCGATTGAAACACCAGCCAGTTCTGTTTGAACCACGCTGATATTTTTTCCTATTCCCTACTCATTCCTTAGCCATAGTGATCTGGAGTATACTCCACATCCTGAGCCCTCTTTGGTTTTTGAGCCGTCTGTATATATGCGTATTGCATTTGTAGTATCTGACTCTGTCTTCTGTTTTATTTGTATTTTGTAGGGTTTATTAAACACAAACCTGAGTTCAATTGCATCACTGGTTGCCTGTAGCGGAGGTTGCGCAGTGAGCGCTTCTTGCCCTGTGGCGAGCCTATGCTCAGCCTCAATTGACCCATTACTACTTCTAGGTTTACACCAGCCGTCGCAATCGTAACATGGCCATTAACGCAACCTCCTTAACGTACAGGTCAGAGGGGTCAGAGTCTTGGGGTTAGGGAGATTACGACCCCGCTGTCGAGTCATGTAATTTCAGTTTCTGCTTTGAAGCCATTGAAACTAAAATTACATGACGATATATGATGAATCTCCTCCAAAAAACTTTGAAAGCAATTCATGAATACTGTTCTGTCTGTCTGTTTAAAATCTGTTTTTCCGTTAACCAGCTGTCCCGCCCCTACGAACAACCACCCTCATAAGTCAAAACTTGTGTGAGCTAAGGTCTTACCTTTCAACGTGTGATTCCTAACACGAGTTGGACGATAGCAAGTTAAAATCGATCGTTCATCCTGCGGCTTGAACCACCGACCAACACGGCGGTCGATTTGAGTGAGTGAACAAAGCACCCACGTCGAACCGACCGGCTACCGGCCGACCATTGAATTTCATAACATGAAGCAAATTGAAAAGTATTCAGAAAACATAATTGTTTTGAGCCCGAGATTCAACACAGGACCGCAGGCATTCAAATCCAACCTTTTATTTAACTACTTCAGGAACCTTACAAACTGATGTTATATAAATCTATTAAAATTCAAAGTGGTATATTTTTGGGAGAAATTAATTTTTGGGAATGAAAGGTTTCGGATTTTTTAAAACTGATTGCTTCCTTCCTTTCTTTGGAAGATTTTCATATTTTTTGTATCGAGATGGAGAAGTAGAAATCTGAAACTTTTCTTTCCGAAAGCTATTTAGGTTTCTAATTATTCTCATTTTGTTTATCAGGTGAGGCACAGCACTGAGGATAAGTGCAAGTAAAGTTATCAATTTGTTCGTTTGTAATCAGCCTCGGGGTGATAGTGGATTATAAATCTTTAATTGATTTTAGGGTATGGGTTACTTTGGCTATTTAATCAACAAGATACGATCATATAATTAATGCTTTTCTCAATAATCAAAACTATATTTTTATTTCATTTGGAACGCTACATGCAGGTAATAGATGAAAAAAATTGACTAGATATGTAAATAATATATAAGTATGGCCGTGGACTATGTTATATTCTCCTGATGGCATCTAGTTCGGCAATGAAATATTTAACTTGACAAAACTGAAACAATCACTAGGTCATTGCATGAATATATGAACTAAAAATTATAAAGGTGTTTTCAGTGTGGTAGCAGAGAAAACTAGTCCAAACCTGAGGACATCGTCAATAGAAAGACATCAGTACAGTGCCATGAGCTCACTGACAGGTAAGAAAAAAATAAATGTATTTTTTTAGGGGATCGACAATAGGAATAATTGAATTCGTTGATGAAAAATTACAAAAATGAGATCTGGAGATAAATTATAACTTCTAATTACATAAAGTTCATCTTCGGAAGCCTGCTCATCGATAGATGTGTAACGCAGGACTCGATACAATATAAGCGTAACCTCTCTATGTCCTGGATCGATTACTATAAGGCATTCGATACAATATCGCATGAGCTCATCTTGCATTTGCTCTGATGCCTTGCGGTACCCGAAAAAATAGTGAGATGCATTGAACAACTGATACCATTCTGGCGAACTCGCTTCACCATAACATCTGGTCAAGGCAGAGTCCAAACAGGGTGGGTCACTTTCAGAAGGGGTCTATTTCAGAGCGATTCCCTTAGTTCCCTTCTCTTCTGCATCTCACTATTGCCATTATCCGTTGCGCTCAGAAATACTAGAGGGTATATCTGAGGCACCCCCGGAAACCGGCACAAGGTCACCCATTTGTTTTATATGGATGATCTTAAACTTTATGCCTCTGGAGAAAAGGATCTCCATCAGTCCTTGAGGTTGGTGGAAGAGTACACGCATGCTATCGCTATGACATTCGGGATAGACAAATGTGCAACGGTTCATCTCAAAAGAGGACGATGCGAGGAAAACGTAGAGGATGTGCAGCTCGTAGATGGAAGCATCCTACACTATTTGGATGCCGGAGAGACGTATACTTACCTCGGGGTCGAACAACGCCACTCATAAGAGGTAACAGCAGTTAAAAACTCTCTCCGCGGCAAAAATCAGCAGAAACTTCGACAAATATGGTCATTGGAACTGTCGGGGAAGAACAAAGTTGCTGCAACAAATATACTTGCTGTTCCAATCTTACTCTACTCGTTTGGAGTAGTGAAGTGAACTCTGAAGGAGCTGTATCAACTCGACGTAAAGACTCGAAAAATGATGCATCTCTACAGGAGTTTGCATCCAAAATCGTTTGTTCTACGGTTGTACTTTCCCCGACACCAGAGAGGCCGTGGACTTTTGAGTTTGGAGTGTCTACATGACAGAATGGTACTGGATATAGCCTGTAAAGTCATCAGAAGTTCGAATCCCCTTCTCTGCATGGTCCGTGACCATGAGAGGGCAGGAATTGGAACATTTGTCTTTAGGGCAGCTGACCGAGCAGCTGATGAACTCGGTTTAGTTTTCGACACTGAACGAGGTGACCACAACTCTATCACCGAGTTGGAACCCGTTGGAGATCTTGGCTTATCAAAGAGCCTTACTTTCGCTTTCCTCAGGTCGAGTGCGCTGAAGTCGGAAACTGAGGGGTTCATCATGGCTTGCCAGGATGGTGTCTTCAACACCTCAGTCTACCGTAGTTGCATGATGAGTATAGAGGTTCCTGACTCAAGATGCAGGCCCTGCCACGAGGCGTCCGAAACCCTAATGCACTTGCTATCAACATGTCAAGCATATGCGGTGTCGGCCCTAAGAGGACTATATTACCGTCTACGGCTCCCTCAGGCGCATACAAGCTAATGAGCCTGATGTCCTCGACCAGCAGAGCAAGACATATTTGTCGTGAAGTTTTCAGCTCCTGGCGAGAAGAAAAGAGAAGGAAAAACGAATAAAATGTCGAGATTTCCTCATCGAACACCGCAGACTCCATCCAGACCACTCTGTCGAAATGGTTATTCTGATTATTGGAGTCCTTGGTGGAGTTATTGGAGTCCTCTCTACTCTCGAATCTTAAAATCATACCTTCTTGCCGCACTAGGGCAGAAATCTCAGCCGGAATCATGCAGAAGGCTATTATTCTCCACTCACTGTGCTTGCTCAGGGCACATGATTCTCGTACCCAATGATCACTTACCCCACGGTGTGAGGAGTGGTCGGTGGTTGATAATGCTGGCGCGCCCTTCCGAGTGTATTGAGGCTTCGAGGGATAGGGCCTGACCAGCGCATAATACTGTAAAAATAATAATAATTAATAAAGTTCATTTTAATCAATATATGCAATTTCAAGTAACCTATTACTAATACATTATTGAGAAAAAAATAAAAGAAGAAACTTTGAAGAAGAGTTTCTTGTGTGTGGTATAGCCAACCTATTGAGAATGGAACTGAATATACAAAATCTATTCAATTCATTCTTGGTGATGTAAACATAAAACAAGGTATAGGATTGAATCAACTCGTGCATAGAGGAAAGAAAAAAAGAAAATAGACGAATAACATTGTACGAAAAATATAAGCTGTCAATTTAGAAAATAATTAGTAAATTAACAGGCAAGTGCAGAGTTATTTCAATTTTACTGGTTGATGGTTTCACGGAATATATCATCATCACAGTTTCTCAACCAGTTTTCAATCTTTTGTTTGAATTTATTTTTTATTTCTTATGCTTTTTATCCTATCTGGTACCAAATCCCAAATTTTCGCGCCATGTATGTTGTTTGTTCCTAGTACTATATTGGTGTTGAAGTTTCTTCAGTGATATTTTGCCCTCATGAATAACTGTTTGATATGAAAACCCCGCTCTCCATGAACAAATTTCCTTACTATATTCCTTACTATATATAATTTTCAAGACATGTTCAAATTATTTCTTAAGGATATACCACGAGCAGAGATACATAGACATATATAAATTTAAATATTTACTCGCTCGATTGTAGATATATATTGTGTATCAATTTGTTTTTAGTCTAGAACCGTACTGATTAAAATCACCTTCATTTTATAATTCTACTTCATTCAACAATGGTGGCCTCCGGTATTGAAGTTTCCTCCTGAGTTGTTCCCACGTATTTGACTTATACAGCACAGCTGTATCATCAGCGAAACTCAAAATATCGCCTGCTGATTGTAGTGTTAACTAGCTATTGATGTATATGGTGAATAAAACAGGGCCCAATACTCTTCCCTGCAGGACACCATACGTAACTTTTGCTTGATTACTCAGTATACCATCGATATTTACCACTTGTTTTCTATCAGAGAGATTCGATTCCAGGACATCGTACATCTTTCTAGCAGACTTTAGTGACATACGGTGTCAAACGCCTTGAAGTGGTCGACAAAGATAGAAATTGCTGGCTCTGAATTGTCTAGTGCTTCATAAATTACTGATGTTGGTCTGTATAATGCATCCTCCGTTGAACATCCCCCTCTGAAACCATATTAATTTTCTGACAGAATACTATGTTTCTCCGTAAATTGTGTCACCGATCTTGAAGAGTGGTTCGACGGTACCGTTTTTGAAAATATTCGGGAATATTCCTTTGACAAAATAATTATTGATGATATGAACAACTGGACCTGCTATGGCATTTGTCATTTTCTTTAACGTGTCCGCGTTAGACTTTTCGTTGACTTCTGTTCTTCTTTTATTCCTATAACCTCACGATCCGTGGTTGGATAAATAAACATGCTTTCTTCAAAGTTATCAGGAATTTTTATTTTAACTGCAAATTTTTTTTTAAATACAATTTTTTAGCACTTTGAGTTAGTTTATGTAATTCATTCTTTCGATTATTATATTGATGTTTGAGGATTCCTTTTTAACATTTCATAAAAATAATCTTTTTCTTGAATAAAAGTAAGTAACACCCAAATTATCCATTTCTTGCAGGTTTTGTCCTTATTTGTTATTTTGATTTGATTTGTATTTGTGTTTATATGATGTTGCAGTTTATTAATGAACATCGTAGCCATTAAATTTATGTCGTTTTGCTCGTAGATACCTTCCCACGTTTCCTTATTCAACAATAATTTGTATACATATAAACCTAATCAATTATTAAATATAGAAACTATCCACAGAAAATCTGTAAAATCGACCATTCATTTCATTGCTGATTCAATTTTATTTGTATTGTATCTCGAACTATTACAGTTTTTTGCAGTAAAAGATTATTATTATTATTACAGATGCGGCAACAACAGAAGTTATTTCTACACTGAAATCTCTACCAGTTATAAAAACTTCAGGAATAGAAATTTCGTCGACAAGGGGAGAAACAACGGAATTTGAAAATTTTTATGTGAGTGAGAAAATGAAAGAGATCACCAAAAGCTCAAAAATGTCAACTTCGGAATCAACCTCAACAACAATAACTTCAAAAGAGAACTTGGAAAAAACTATGACATCCATAGGAATTTCGATAGAAATAACTACAAATGATTCTGAGGGAATGGAGGAATATACTAAAGAACCGGAAATTTCAATGTCGAAACTAGCTTCAACAGAATCAACTTCAAATGACTCTGAGAAAATTGAAGAACCCATCAGAAAATTGAAAATTTCGACATCATCCCAGAGCACTGCAGCAAAAATAACTTTAAATGAAACCGAGGAAACTGAAGAAACCACCAAAGTATTGAATGTTTTGACTCCCGAACCAACTTCATCAGAGTCCACTTTGAATGAAACTGGACAAATAGAATTCACCAAAACAACGATAACTTCAACGAACAAAACAAATTTCACGAAATTGTTTTCAACACAATATGAGGAAATGAAAGAATATACAGAAGAATCGAAAATATTGATATCCGAAGTCACATCAACAGAACTGAATTCGAATGGGGGAATAGAATTTACTGAAAAGGCAATAATATCGATGACCAAAGAATTAACATCAAACAATGATGAGATAATGAAAGAATCCACTGGAGAATTTAAGACGTTGATGTCAACCCAAACTACTTCAACAGAAATAACTTCTGATGGCACTGAAGGAATTGAAGAGTCCACACAAATATCAAACATTTCTGAAACAACTTCAGAGGAGTCAATTTCGAAAGAAAGTGAGGAAATTGAATTTACTAAAAAATTAATCACTTCCATAGAACCCATTTCAAATGAATTTAAGGGAATAGAAGAACATAATGAAGAAACGAAAATTTCAAAATCCAAAGAAACCGTTACAGAATCTGAGGAAATGGAAAAATCCATTGAAACATCTATGATTCCAATTTTCCGAACAACTTCAACAGAATTAACTTCAAATGAGACTGAAGAACTGGAGGAATCAACCGAAGGATATGACATTTCGATCTCATTCAAAACCATTTCAGCCCAGTCAACTTCAAATACAACTGAGAAATTGGAAGAATATATTAAGAAGTCAAATATTTCGACTCCTGAAGTGACTTCAGCAAAGTTAATTTCAAAACAAACCCCAGAAATAGCATCCACTGAAAAATCGATTATTTCGACATTCAAAGCATTTTCAACTGAATCAACTTCAGGCGAATCTAAGGAAGCGAAAGAAACCAAAGAATCAACTCCAATAGAATTACATTCAACTGGAAGTGAGCAAATGGAACAACTCACTAAGGAATATGTAATTTCGACTCGATATGAAGGAACTGCCGAAGAGTTCACTCCAAATGAAATTGAGCGAATAGAATTCACTGAAAAATCGATGTTCAAAACAACTTCAACTGAATTAACTTCAAATATGACTCAGAAAGTGGAAGAATCCGCAGAATCTGAAGTTTCAACTACATCTAGAGCAACTTTAAAAGAGTTCGCTCTAAATGGAACTGAGGAAATAGAATCCACCGAAAAACCGATAATACAAACATCCGAATCAACTTTCACAGAATTGTTTCCACTGAACTCCGAGGAAATGAACGAACGTACTGAAGAAGTTTTGATATTTGAAGCAACGTCAACAGAATTAATTTCAAATGAGGTCGAGAAAATGAAAGAATTCACTGAAAAGTCTCAAATTTTGACGTCGTCAAAGGTAACTTCAGTTGAATTAACTTCAAGTCAAACTGATGAAGTGGAATCAACAATATCAATGCCCAAAGCAACTGCAACAGAATCAACTACAAATAAGACTGTAAAAATGAAAGAACCTACCATAAAATCAAAAATTTCGATGGCCTTACATACTACTTCAGCGATAGAAACTTCAAATGAAATTCAAGAAATTGAGCAGTCCACCGAAAAGTTAAATATTTCGATTTCTGAAGCTTCCTCAGCGGAGTCAATTTCTGGAGAAACTAAGGAAATGAAAGAGTCTACTGAAAAATCCATGATTTCAATTTATGAAGCAACTTCAACAGAATTAACTTCAAATGAATCTGGAGAAGAAATGGAAAAATATACTAAAAAACTGAAATTTTCGACATTGAAACCAACTTCAATAGAATTAACTTCAAATGAGACTAAGGAAATTGAAGAAATCACTAGAGATTTTAAAATTTGGACAGCTGAACTAACCTCAAAGCAAACTGAAGAAATTGAAAAATCAACTCAACATGAGTTTACTTCAACGAGAAAATCCACAAAAGAATGGGAAATTTTGACGTCTGAAGAAACTTTTTCAGAATCAACTTCGAATGAGATCGAGAAAGTGGGAAGAACTACAGCATCCTATGCAACTATGGCGAAACCTACTTCAGTTTCTCAAGAAATGTTCACAGAATTATATTCAACTGAGTCTGTGGAAACACAGAAATATATTGAAGAATCAAAAATGTTGAAATCTGAAGTAACGTCAATAGAATCGAATTCCAAATCCGAAACTCCAACGGAGTCAATAAAAACACCCTCCTCCAAAGAAATTTCGACAATATCTGAAATGAATGAATCAGAAATTTCAGAAGGAGGAACGAAACCAACGAAAGATTTGGAAAAACTTCTTTCTCAAATCAATGCTACAAAACATCAAGAAGTGACAGAGTACGATGAAAATGACGTCCAGTTCATAGTAGTCACGGCATTACCAGAATATCAGGACTATGGTTCGGAAAACGAAACTTCACAAAAAACTTCGCGAGCAGAAGAAACTGAACATTATTTGGTGACTAATTTAAGTTCCCTCTCTATTGAACGTGAAACATTTTCAACCTCCGAAACTAGTTCTCAATTTCCCACAATAGAGAATAATACCTTCGAAATAATATACAGCCCTCCGCCGAATACATTTTTCACCACAGAAATCAGTTCCAAAATTATATCAATTGGCAATACAACCCATGAGAAGATATTCAGTTCATCAAAGAAAACAGCACTATCAGAAGAAACTGAACACTTTTCAGAAGCTAGTTCAGGGATAGTTTCAATACCTACTGAACATGAAACATTTTCAACTCACGAAACTAACCCTCACATTACCACAATGGAGAATACGACTGTCAAAGCAATGTACAGCCTGACAGAGAAAACATTAGAAGGGGTGGAAACCGAACATAATACTCCAATAAGTACTGAATCATCTTTGGGTACTAGTACATATGAAACTAGTTCTTATATTCCAGCAATAAGTAATATAACTCATGAGAAAATGTTCAGCTCTTCTGAGAAACCGTCAGTATTAGAAGAAACTGAACATTTTGCAGTAGTTAGTTTAGAGTCCGCTTCAATTTCTACTGAACAGGAAATATTTTCAACTTCTGAAAGTAGCTCTCGGGGTTCCGCAGTGAAGAATGTGACCCTCGAAACAATGTATAGACCTACGCAGGAAACAGGGGAAAAAGAAACTGACCAAGTTACTTTATTGAGTATCAAATCGGTTTTGGGTAGTAGTAGATATAATATGTTATCCACCACAGAAACTAGTTCTCATATTTCTGCAATTGACAATGCAACTTATGGGGAAAAATACAGCTCTCCAAATAAATCATCGATATTGGAAGAAACTGAATATTTTTCTGCAGCTAGTTCAATATCTACCGAACATGAAATATTTTCAACTTCCGAAACGATTTCTCAAATTCCTAAAGAAGAAAATGTAACTGTCACATTGACATACAACCCTCCACAGAAAATATCAATTGCAGAAGAAACTGAACACATTCCATCAATGAGTACAGAATCAGCTTCAGATCATANCTCAACCGAGCAAAAACTATTCACAACATCTGAAACTAGCTCTCAGATTCTTACAGAAGTGAATGTGACTTCGAAGGCTATGAACATCTCTGAAACCGGACATATTGCCCCCACAAGTATCGAGTCAACTTCAATCCTCAGTAGATATGAAATATTGGCCACTACAGAAAATATTTCACAAAGTTCTACAGTAGGTGAAACAACTTCTGAGAAAATATACACTCCTCCACAAAAAACACCATCATCCGAAGAAACAGGTTTCCAAATTCCTTCGGTAGATAATATAACTCTGGAAACATCAGTATCAGAAGAAACTAAAAATTTCTCGGTGGTTAGTTCAGAATCAAGTTCAATTCCTTCTGAGCATGGAATATTTCCAAAATCTAAAGCTACATCTCAAATTCCTAAAGAAGTAAATGTGACTTTGGAGTTATTCTACGGTCATCAACAGAAAACATCACTTGCAAATGGAACTGAACACATTCCATCAATGAGTACAGAATCAGCTTCAGATCATAGTAGATATGACATGCTGTCCACCACAGAAACCAGTTCTCAAATTTCAGAAATTGGCAGTGCAACTTATGTGGAAATGTACAGATCTTCACAAAAAACATCAGTATCAGATGAAACTGAACATTTTTCATCAGTTGGTTCTGATTCATATTCAGTCACTACTGAACATAAAATGTTTCCTACATCTGAAACAAGATTCCCAACTTCTTCTTCAGATCTGAATGTAACTCTAAAATCAATATACAGCCCTCCACAGAACGAATCAGAAAAAACTGAATTTTTCCCAGAGTCTACTCCAATCTCCACGGTACAAGAAAAACTCACAACAACCGAAACGAACGCTGAAATTCCTACAAAGGTAAATGTGACTTCGGAAGCAATGTACGGCCCTTCTGTGGAAATATATAGTTCTTCACAGAAAACATCTTTATCGAATGAAACCGAATATATTCCATCAACTGGTTCAGAGTTCACTTCAATTTCTACAAAACATGAAATATTTGTAACTACCGGAAGGAGCTCCCAAATTCCTTCAGAAGAGAACATGACGTCCGAAACCTCACTATCAGAAGAAACTGAATATTTCTCAGTAGCTAGTTCAGAATCAAGTTTAATATCTACGGAGAATGAAATATTTTCAACTTCCGAAACAATCTCTCAAATTCCTGAAAAAGTAAATTTAACTCTCACAATGATATACAGCCCTCTACAGAAAATATCAATCGCTGAAGAAACTGAACACATTCCTTCAATGAGTACAGAATCGACTTCAGGGCATGGTAGATATGAAATGATGTCCACCACAAACACCAGTTCTCAAATTTCTGCAATTGGTAATGCAACTTTTAAGGAAATGTACAACCTTCCACACAAAACATCTGTTTTGGAAGAAATTGAACATTTTTCAAAAGCTAGTTCAGAAACAAGTTCCATTTCTACTGAATATAAAATGTATCCAACACCCGAAACTATCTCTCAAACTCAGTCAGTAGAGAATGTGACCCTCGAAGCAATGCACATGCCTACACAGAAAAGTACCCAGTCATCTTTGGGTAGAGGTATATTTGAAATGTTCTCCAAAACTAGTTCTCATATTCCAGCAGTGAGCAATATAACTCATGAGAAAATGTATAGCTCTTCAAAGAAACCGTCAGTATCAGAAGAAACTGAACATTTTGCAGTAGTTAGTTTAGAGTCAGGTTCAATTTCTACTGAACATGAAATATTTTCAACCTCTGAAACCAGCTCTCAGAGTTCCGCAGTGGAGAATGTTACCCTCGAAACAATGTATAGACTTACGCAGGAAACATGGGGAAGAGAATCTGATCATGTTACTTTGTCGAGTATCGAATCGTTTTTGGGTAGTAGTAGGTATGAAATGTTGTCCACCACAGAAACTAGTTCTCAAATTTCTGCAGTTGGTAATGCAACTTACGAGGAAATGTACAGCTCTTCAGAAAAAACATCGATATTAGAAGAAACTGAACATTTTCCAGTAGCCAGTTCAGAGCCAAGTTCAATTTTTACCGAGAATCAAATATTTTCAGTGTCAGAAACTAGCACTGAAAGTTTCACAGTAAAAAATGTGACTGTCGAAGCGACGTATAGCCCAACGCCAAAAATATTCGAAGGAGAAGAAACTGAACATGTTGGTAGATATGAAATTTTATCCACCACCGAAACCAGTTCTCAAACTCCTGCAGTTGTCAATGCAACATATGGGGAAATCCGCGGGTCTTCAAAGAAAATATCAATGCCTGAAGAAACTGGACAGTTTCCACTAGCAAGTTCCATTTCTACTGAACATGAAATATTTTCAATATTCGAAACTAGCTCTCAAAGTTCCTCAATAGAAAACGTAACCGTTGAATCATTGTTCCGCCCTGGACAGAAAACATTGGATGAAGAAAAAAAAGAAAATGTTACTTTAATGACTGCCGAATTATCTTTGGGCAGTAGTAGATACGAAAAATTACCCACCATAGAAACCTATTCACAAACTTCAGCGGTCGGCAATACAACTCTTGGAGAAATGTACAGCTCTTCAAAGAAAACATCGATATTACAAGAAACTGAATATTCATCAGTAGCTAACTCAGAGTCAAGTTCAATTTCTACTGGACATGGAATATTTTCAACATCCAAAAGTAGTTCTCAAATTTCCACAGCACTGAATGTGACCATCGAAGCAATGTTTAGCCCTACACAGAAAACATTACCAGAAGGAACTGAATATGTTACTTCAATAAGTACCGAATTATCTTTGGGGAGTGGTAGACACCAAATTTCATCCACCACAGAAACCGGTTCTCAAATTTCAGCGGTTGGCAATGCAACTTTTAAGGAAATGTACAGCTCTTCACAGAAAATACCAGTAACAGAAGAAGATAAATATTTTTCAGTAGCTAGTTCAGAGTTAAGTTCAATTTCTACTGAAAATGGAATGTTTTCAACCACCGAAACTATCTCTCTACCCCAGGAAACATTGGTATCGGAAGAAATAGAACATTTTTCAGAGTCAATTTCAATGTCTACTGAACAAGAACTGTTTACAACAACCGAAATGAGTTCTCGAATTTCTACAGAGGTGAATGCGACTTTGGAAGCAATGCACAACCCCGAGCAGAAAACATCAGTGACAAAAGGAACTGAGATTATTGTTCCAACAAGTATCGAATCAACTTCAGTGTTTGGTAGATATGAAATATCATCCACTATAGAAGATAGTTCGCACTTTTCTACAGTGGGTAATGCAACTTCTGAGGAAATAAACAGCTCTCTACAGGAAGCATCGATATCGGAAGAAAACGGACGTATTTCATCAACTGGTTCAGAGTTTACTTCATTGTCAATATTAACTACCGAAACAAGCTTCCAAATTTCTTCAGAAGAGCATCTAACTCTGGGAAAATCAGTAACAGAACAATTAGAACATTTTTCATCAGCTAGTTCAGAATCAAGTTCAATTTCAACTGAGCATAAAATATTTTCAACTTCTGAAACTAGCTCTCAGATTCATGAAGAACTGAATGTAGCTCAGGAATTAGGGTACAGCTCTATTCAGAAAACATCAATTGCAAAGGAAACTGAACGTATTCCCTCAATAGGTATCGAATCATCTTCGGATAGTAGTAAATATGAAATATTTTCCATCACCGAAACCAGTTCTCAAATTTCTGCAGTTGAGAATACAACTTCTGAGGAAATATACACCTCTTCACAGAAAACATCAGTATCAGAAGAAACTGAACAATTTTCATTAACTGATTATAAATCACTCGCTACTAAATATATGTTTCCTATCTCTGAAAGAAGTTCTCGAATCCCTACAGATGTGACTTCGACTTTCGAAGCAATGTACAGGTCTGGTCACAAAACATCAGAGGCAGAAGAAATCAAACTCATTTCTTCTACTAGTACAGTAACAACTCCAGTCCCAAATGGATATGAAATATTGTACAACGCAACAATCAGTTCGCAAATTCCCACATTTGGCAGCGAAACTTCTAAAGAAATGTACAGCCCTCCACTGGATACGTCAAAACATGAGATGTTTTCAACCTCAGAAACTAGCTTTGAAATTATCGCATTAGAGAATATAACTTCCGAAGCAATGTCCAGCTCTCCAAAGAATATATCGGTCTCAACAGGAACTGAAAACGTCCCAGTAGCTAATTCAGCTTCAGTTGCTACTGACCATGAAATGTTTTCAACCTCCAAATCGGATTCTCAAATTACCATACCAGTGAATGTATCTCTCGAATCAATATATAGTCCTCCACAGAAAACAGAGGCGGAACGAGTACTTTCAACGAGTACCGAATCACCTCCAAACCGAAGTAGATTTGAGATGTTGTCCATCACAGAAACTAGTTCTCAATTCTCGTCAGTCAGCAATGTTCCTTCTGAGGAAATGTACAGCCCTCTGAAGGAAACATCATTATCAGAAGAAACTGAACACTTTTCAATAGCTGGTTCAGAATCAATTTCAGTATTTACTGAACATCAAATAATGACCACCAACAGAACGGACTCTAAAATTCCTACAATAGTGAATATAAGTCTCGAAGTACAGAGAACAGAAGAAACAGACCATATTTCTTCAACAAATACCGAATCAACTTTAGGTCGCAGTAGATATGAAATGTTGTCCATCACAGACACGAAATATGGAATTTCTACCGTCATCAATACATCTTCTACAACTCCTGAGGTAACCTACAGCTCTCCACAGGAAACGTCAGTATCAGATGAAACTTTACATTTTTCACCAATCAGTAGTTCAGAGACTTCAGTCTCTACTGAAATGAACTTTCAAGTTCCTACAGGATTGGCTCACGAGAGAATGTATAGCACTTTACAGAAAGTGTCAAGTGCAAAAGAAACTGAACATGTTCCTTCAATGAGTACCAAATTAGGTTCTGGCACAGAAATCGGTTCCCAAATTTCTGCAGTGAAAATTGCAACATTCAGCGAAACCTACAGCCCTACACAGAAAACACCAGTGTCAGAGGAAACTGCAAGTGATGTTTCGTATCATTCTGAGTCAACAGAAAAAGAACAATTGTCTCTTACGCGAGGGCTCAATAATATCAATGAAAGTGAATCAATGCAGAATACACATGTAACACATCTTTCGGTTGGTAAAACATCAGGAAAAGGGAGTAAAATTACTTCGACAGGGGTTAATTTGGAAGGCAAACAATCAGGTGAATCTATATCTCATGAATCAAAGTCATTGTCATCGTCTTCGAAAACACCAGAAATATTTGACACCGATAAGGCACTCAGTACCAAAATGGGAATTCAGACCTTTACCGAAGTCGAAAATACATCGTTAAGAAAACACATTACGAGTCAAATGACAAAGGAGGCTTCAATGAATGAGAATGCATCTTCATACTCTTCAAAAATGATCACTTTGTCCATTCCAAAAACTATTGCAGAAAAGCAAGTTGAAACATCTACAATAAACACTGAAAAGTCGACTATACAAGTATATACAGTGCCCCCAGAAAAAATGTTTTCTTCCCATAGTACAATTTCATCTGTCGCCACATCAAAAATAGAGACACTAGTTAAATTACCCGAAGAGATCCGTACAACTGTAAAAGTTGAAGAAGACATTAATAAGGGGTCTACACATATAACAGAAACAGTAATTTCTGAGTTTGGAAGAATTACAGGCACAGCAATACCAACAGAGAAGTCAAGTTCCAGACTAAGTTCAGTCGAAACAACAGCTGGTTACAGAACATCGACAGGTACGCATGTTCACCTCCGAAAAGCTATTTCAAAAATGGATAAATAAGAGATTCCATTTTTTAGATCTAAAATATGCAGTTTCCAATGTTCCAATTCCTTATTTTTTAGAAAACGAAGCAGTTCTGCGTGTTACTGATTATTCTAACGGAACAAGTACACTTGTAGAACCTAGTGAGGAGACTTTTGAAGAATTTGCTTTCACTAACGTTCAAGAAAAATCAGAATTGTGTGAACCTTGTTCCGAAGAAATAACTACAGAAAAATTCAAACCAAAATACACAACGTCTGGTACTTCCGAACTAGGTAGGTAGGTATTGAAATTTTTATAATTCAATTTAATAACATTAGGGGTAATCGGGTTAAATTGTTGAATTTAAAACGTTATTTTTTATCAAAATTTGTTCTGAGAAATTGTTCCACATTTACTCAACTATGTCCGAAATTACTTCAGACAGATATTGCGTGAATATTATTATTGAAATATGTATTACTTGTATCCTGTATCATTAGCCCTTGCACACTTTTCAATGAAACAATTATGATTTTAGATTCACTTTTTTTAGTCAGCTATTATCGCTTTTCCAGCATTCGATACACCCAGGTTGCTACTGAAATATTCTACACATTTTGCACTCCTTTTGATTCCAAAGTCTCATTATTCGACGGGATAAGAGTAAAAAATATTTTTCGAAATCAAATTTTCTTTAAAATTTATTTTGTATTTTTTAGTTATCGTTGGACGTGTTCCTTAGTCTGTTCATTTCATTCAATACGTCATTGTTGCATTGCCATTTCCTACAAAAAAAATATACGCCTGAAGAAGCTATTGTAAAACGAAACACGAGTTGCGTTTTTGTAAAACTCTTTAGTGAAAATCTCTTAATAAAGTGTTTCTTGATACGTTATTTATGGATTTTCATCAAGTATCCGCCGATTCCATCACATACAAAACATCCCTAACTATCCCTAAATTTTGATAAATAATAGCCGAATAATAGTCAAGAATAATCGGCAATTATGATTTTTCTGAAATAAATATGACCGCAATGAAAAAACAATCGTGTTGAAGTGCTCGTTTATCTCTGGCGCTACTTTTAAACTGGAATGTTTTGCAGTTCTTTATTATAAAATGTCAACAATTTTTTTATGGCTGTATTACAGAAATATCGTGTGACGATATCAGGTGATAACTAGGGTTATCACCCGAAGACGATTGTGGATACTAACAATCGAAACGTCGTGAATTAATTTGGTTTGGAATCTTTCAATTTTATTCTTTCAGGAATTTCAAATCAATTTATTTCATACTAGACAATGAAAGTCCGAAATAATGAACGTATCTTCTGGCTTTGACAGTATTGTGCTAGGACTTTCAACACCATGTATCTCCGGAACTGAGAAGTTTTGAATATACGTTCATGAAAACGTTTCTTTACAAAATATCACAGAAAATCATGTCCTATATAGAAAAAATAAAATATATATATAAAAGAAATACCCAAAAAAGGCTTCACTCATGTGGCTTTCTACATTAATCAGTGTATGAAAACCATATTGCGTTATACAATAATTTGAGTTGGGGAGATTGACTTATAAAATTTTCTGAGGATTTCATTCGTCAGGTCCTTTTCGATCTGGTTTGGAAATAATAGTTCTAATGAAGTCGACACTTTTCATTCTGTACAAATGAAGTATGAGACCATTCCTTTGACGCCATATGATTCTGAGAATTTTTTGTTATGGTTAGTCTTCTACATTTTATTTGCTCGATGAAGATTTGTGCCGTTTTTCTACAATCTATTATGAGTTTGAGGTGTCAGTAAAGACTACCACATATAGGATTTGCGTATGTTAATTATAGATACTGTAACGGACTATAGTTATAGCTTTTCTGTAACTCATCAATAGAATAACCACACTGATTCTAGTTGAGTAGATACAGTAAAAATGTATGTTAAAGAAAAATGTTAAAATATGTTTTTCCGTTAACCAGCTGTCGCACCCCTACGAACGACAACCCTCAGAAGTCGAAACTTGTGCGAACTAAGGACTAACGAGGTCTTACCTTTTAACGTGTGATTCCTAACATGGATTGGACGATAGCAAGTAAAAATCGATCGTTTAGCCTGCGGCTTGAACCACCGACTAACTCGACGATCGATCGAGTGAGTGAACAGAGCATCCACGTCGAACCGACTGGCTACTGACCGATTATATTTCAAATTTTCATGTCCCAAAATAATTGCACTCTCATAAAATGATACATTATGTTTGAAAGTGATTGACAATGTTTCAAGGTAAAGTTTACTAGTTCAGACTTTCTCATATGATTCGAAATTTATGAAAGAACAAATGAAATTAGAATGAATAGCTGGAATATCAATTATATATAAGCACTATAACGTGAAATGAAAATATAATAAAACGAATAAAATGAAATAATCAATAATCAAGAAGATTGAAATGACCACAGAGTAAAAATAAATGAAAATAAGCGAAAAAATATTTATAGGTCATTCGATCGCTTTCACCTACTCCTATTCCCTCCTTTCGCTTCAGCGGTTTAGCGGGAGTTGGCCGTTTGGCAGGAGTTGACCGTTTTTCGCTTGATTACAGGTTTCCATATGTTGTGTTAGCTTGGCTGAATACGTCGTTCGAAAATATATATGCAGCGTCTTTGAACTTTCTTTCAAACCAGTGTTCCGCTCGTTTCTCCTCGCTGTGTTTTTTTTTGTGCTCGGCAATGCGGAATTTTAAAGGTCTCTTAATTTCAGCGATATAGGATTTTTCGCACTCACAGGGTATCCGAAAATGCAATTCTTGGAATCGCAGTCCTCGTTTGGTGGCCTGGTTTTCGTGAGGCTGCTGAGGATAGTGTTTCCGGATCTGAAGCAGGTTCTGATGTTGTACTTGGACTCAACACTTCTTATTCTTTCCGGCAATCCGCTGATGTAGGGAAGGGCAAGCACTGGTTGTGACAGCTTCTCATCCTTCCGAGACTCTTGCTGTCTTTTAGCCAAAGTTTGTTCCACCATCACTTTGAAGTAACCATTCCGTCGGAGATCTTTTTAATGATGCCTAGTTTCTTCTCGAGAGCCTGAAAATGCCGATCCAATAGAGCCTTGATGAATCCTCTTCTGGTAGATTCATGGTAGTTGAATTCGTGATTCAAATGCTGTCCCATGATAGTGGGTTTTCTGTATACATATGTTTCCCGTTCAATGTCGGTCTTCCTCACCAATACGTCTTAGAATGTCAACTTGCTGTGGACTTCCTTTTCCATTATGAAGGTCATGGAAGGTCTTACGCTATTGATAGGCTTCAAAAGGTATTTAATTTTGTATTCCCATTGTTCTATACTATGAAGGTGTCGTCAAAGTATCTCAACCAGACTCGGAGCTGCTTGTCAGCTTCTTCAATGGCCAGAGTTTTAAATCACTCCATATGTATGTTGGCTATAACTAGTGAAAGTGGCGATGACATTGGCAGTACCTCATCTTGCGTAAAAAATTCGTTTTTCAGTTGGAAATAGCAGTTCCGTACAAAGCATCCTAGTAGTTCCATGATTACTTCTTCAGATGAGTTCGTTCCATCTTCCAGATGCCCGTCTTCGGATAGCTTCCCCTGTATAGTTTGAAGTGCTTCTTCAACAGAAACGTTGATATAAATGCTTTCCACGTCGAAACTGATCAATTGATCCTGCTCTGTGACTTGGATTGTCTGTAATTCCACAAAAATGCCTTGAATCCTTCATTTTTTTTCCTTTTTTTATTTATTTTGGTTATTACTATTTTTCATTATAATCTGTAGTCATTTCCATCTATTAGCTTGATTATTTAATTGTATTCGTTTTAATGTATTTTCATTTCACGTTTCATTGCTTATGTATGAATACTTGATATTTTAGCTATTTATTCTAATCTTATTTGTTTTTTCATAAATTTCGAATCATATTAGACAATGGAAGTCCAAACTAGTAAAATAATAAGTTACTCATTTCTAGACCTACACAATAATTTTTGTTTTAGGGGATACTTATCAACCAGATTTTCGAGTGCTAATTCATAATTTAGTTTCAAACGCTTTTTATAGAGCTCGGTCACGCTGAAACCAGCTTTGAAAAAAATCTACCTTTTTTAGCCTACTTTACCTACAAACGATGCTAATAAATGTAGTAAAGTTAATTTTTTCGTAGTCTTATCGGTTACAGAGAAAGCACTATTGATATTATTCAAACTACGAAATACAAGTAATAATGCGCTAAAAAGGTTTGATTAGAGAAAATTGAAAAGTTTGTTTTTATTATTGAATTTGACATCTGAAACGAATTGAATCATTCTGGCGAATCTTATTGTTAATGACGTCACTACGAATCTTTTTTGAATACACGCCCGAATACGATTAAACTCCAGAAAACACCTTATATTTTAGTTAGCAGTTTGACATCAGACTATGTCATTAATTTGACAATCGTTCTATTTTTATCTGACACTCTTATCTATTTAATTTTTCAACATTCAGAAACGAAAGTACGTCAAATCTCAGAAGAAACACCTGATGAGTCATGGTCTTCTCCACTGTATTTTATGAAGTCAAAAGTACCAGAGTTGAGCCTTTCAATTGAACAAGATTTCAAAACTTCTGAAACAGAAGTGGAGTCTACCATAGAAAATCAAGCGGAAGTTAAATCATCAATCGGAAGAGATAAAGAAAATGAAGTAACTCCACATACAGGAAAGTTGGGAATAACGTTTGAAGTACCCACTGAACTTATCACTTCTCCCAAACTAGAAATGGAGTATACTGTAGAACATAAAGAAGAAGTCACAAAATCTTCGGAATCGACAATCAAAACAAGTGGGAAATTTGAAGTAACTTCTGCCTTAGGACGTCTTACTGAGAGTCGTACAGAAAATTCTGATTTAGAAGTAGAGTCAACACATGAAAGTGAAATTATCGTACATTCTGAATTTTCTAAAGAAGGTACAGTAACTAAAAGAATTCTATTCTCTCATGAAGCGGAAGAGGCATTAAAGTCAACCATTCAGGTGGAACAAGAGTCGCAAGTAGAACATGGGGAAGAAGTTCCTGAATTAGCTAAGATAACAAGTGCTGAGCAAGGAATAGAACACACTTTTGAATCTGAAACAGTGCTCTACAAGATATCAAAGCCAACCTCTACTATTGAAAGAAAAATGGAAGAAACGAGTATTAAATCTACTGATATCAATAGAGGAACTACCAAAGTAGGAATAGAATCAACCATCGAACATGAAGGAAAAACTATCGAAACAACTGAATTGATAACTAGAGAAGGTGCTACACATTCTATGAAGCCAGAAGAAACGTCTAAGCCAGATTTTTTCATTAAAAAAAATACAGGAACTCCTGAGATAGAAGTAAAATCTACTGTAAAACGTGGCCCAGAATTCATCCTCGAACCTAAAACGGAAATCATTGAATCGTCGGAACAGTCGACAACAAATAAAGCTAAAACCTTGATTACTGCATTGGAACAACAGGTAACTTCATTAAGCACTGAGATATCGAAGCCGATCATTACTATCAATACAGAGGAATTGAAGAAAGAAATATTAAGTTCAACGTTTGAGCAAAATATATCTGAAAGACGCAGTGAAACAATTGAAATGAATGAAGAATTTTTCATCGCACATAAACAGCAAGTTGCAAAAAAAACTGAAAAGGATACCGAAATTTCGGAGATAAATATAAAGTCATTCATCAAATATGAGCAAACAGCAACCGAGACAATCGGATCCTCAGTCAAAACTTCACTTTCTCCAAAATCTCTCAAACCTGCATATTCCATCACTGATGATATGAAATCTTCTGAGGTAGGAGTAGAGTCTACTAATATCGAACTTGAAGAGATGACCAAAGCAATTGATTTACCAATTGAAATGGTTGAAATACCAATCACGATAAATTCAGAAAGATCTAAAGAAACTGAATCAGAGAATCTTGAGGAAAGTGTCAGAAATGTCGTACTAGAAGTAGAGACTACCGTCCAACCTGAAACCGAAACTTTTAAATTATCTGATCAATCAACTGAAAAAACTGGTGAAACAAAAATTACTTCATATTTAAAGCAACATGAAACATCAAAACAAACTGTTGTTTCGACGCTTGAAGCAAACGAAATGAGAGAAGACTCTACCGAAGAAATGAGTGAGATTCAAACATTCAATTCTTCTGAACTCCTGGAACCAAGTATGGTTTGTGAAGAATGTTCGGGTACAACCAACAGAACAACGGAACATATCAAAATTTCTGGGACTGAATTGGAATCTACAGTCAACCATAAAGAAAGCGTTTTCGAAATAAATGAATCGTCAGTCGGAGAAGAGGCAGAAAAAAAAGGAACACCCGAGTCAAGAACACCCATCGAGAAACATACTGAAACCACACAAGGACAAATTAAATCATTCAAAAAACATACAGGAAAAGTTACCGTACTGAAAGAATTTTCAACTGAACAAGGATCATCCTATTTTTCAGCGATAGAGGAAACGCAAAAGTCATCTAAAAGACTCCCTGAAACATCCGAAGCGGAAAAAGAGAAAGTAACAAAAGAAATTGAATCTTCATCTGGTGAGGCTGAAGAAACCAGAGTAAACGCTTCTTCTGGAAAGTCAGGTANTAGCGAATTGCCTGCACATTCAACCAGAAAAAGTAGTGAAACTAAACTTACTTTGCATGTGCAGCAACATGAAATATCAGAGCATCCTGAAATAGAATCAATTACATTTGCCTCTAGAGAGGCAATTGAAACAGTTGGTTCGATAACTGAAGAAACAGTTGGTTCGAGAACTGAAGCAACAGAAACACGTCCAGAGTCTACCGAAGAAGTGAATGAGATTCAATTATTCAATTTTTCTGAATTGCCAAAAACGAGTACCGTTTGTGAAGACTGTTCTGCTGCAACCAACATATCGACTGAACGCATAAACATTTCTGAGATAAATTCGGAGTATACCATTAATAATGATGAAAATGAAATAACCGAATTGTTGATCAGGGAAAGCACAGAAAGTAAACAAACACTCGAATCAATTTCTTCCATTAACGATCATTCTGAAACTTCTCAAGTACAAATGAAATCTACCAGCAAACATGAATTGAAAATTACCGCGCAAAATCAATTTTCAACTGAAAAAGGAGCTACATATCCTCCAACGATTGAAAGAACGTCAGAGTCAAGTCATTCGACAAAAAAACTCTCCGAAACCCCTGAAGCGAAAACGAAATATTTGAATAGAGATGAAGAGGAAGTTGCAGAAGAATTTGAAACTTCATCTGGTGAGCCTGAGGAAACTAAAGTAACCGTAACTTCTGTAGAGTCAAATACAACAATAACAAATATTTTCACCGAAAAACATATCCAAATCTCTGAAGTAGAAAAAAGAAAATCAACCATCAAACATGAAAAAACAGGAACATTTGAAACTTCATCTGGTGAGCCTGAGGAAACTAAAGTAACCGTAACTTCTGTAGAGTCAAATACAACAATATCAAATATTTTCACCGAAAAACATATCCGAATCTCTGAAGTAGAAAAAAGAAAATCAACCATCAAACATGAAAAAACAGGAACAACTGAATCCTCATTTGTAGAAAATGAAGTATTCGAAAAAACTAGATCTTTCGAAAAAGAAGAAAAGTCTTCTATTGAACATAGCTTGGAAGTAACGAAATCAGTTACATTTAAAAATGGTCCGGCGCTTAAAGGTATCGAAACAAATGTAGAGTCTAGAGAGGAAGTGAACGATGGCCAACTTTTTAATTTTTCTGAATCCCCAAAAACGAGTAAGATTTGTGAAGAATGTTCTGATGCAACCAAAAAATCATCTGAGAGTGAAAATGAGGTTATTTCAAACGATATAAGTGGAGAAGAAACAACTACCATGATAGAACTTGCCGTATCTAACAAAAAAGATAAGTCGGCAAAAATTTCAACAACTTCGGAACATGCAAAAAAAGTTTCGGCCCTCAAATCAAAAGTTGAAATTACGGAGGCAAAGTTGCCAGAAAGCACACAAAGAGTCTCACATTATGGAAGGATAGATCAAACATCCGAATTGAACCATTCGACTGAAAAGCTCAGTGAAACATCAGAAATGGAGGTAAAATCTTCCATCGAATATATAGATAAAGTTACAACAGAAACTTCTTCATCTGATAAGAGAAAGGAAACTGAAGAGACTCACCATTTTGAATATTCAGAAAACACATCCAAATCAGCTCCTGTTAATGAAAATCAAACTACAGCTTCTGAAGCAGTTACGGAAGTAACTGAATTGACAAATCAAGAAGGCGTAGAAATCCATTATCATTCTTTGCAATCATCTAAACCTCAACCTACCACTGAAAAAAGTATCAAATCTTCTGAAGAAGCAAAGTTAATCACTATCGAACATGAAGAGGAAATTACCAAGGTGGCTTCGTTGCCGAATGAAGAAGGCACTGAAGTTTCATTTACCTCACAGCCAGAAAGATCAAAGAAAACTGAATCAGAAAAATTTGATGAAAAAGGTACTGGAACTGTCGAACCAGAAGAAACCATTCTTGAACCTGAAAAATCAACTAAAAAAAATGGTGAAATTAAGATTTCATCACAAACGAAACAGCAGGAAACGCCATTATCTACTGAGGTTTCGAAATCAGCTACGCCTCACATTGAAGGGTCAGTACAAGAAACAGTAAGTTCTAGATTTGAAGTGAACGGAACAACTATAGAATCTACTGAGGAAGTGAATGAGGTCCAGTTATTCAACTTTTCTGAATCCCCAAAAACTTCTGAGTTTTGTGAAGAATGTTCTAACACAACCAGCAGATCGACTGAGGCTAAAAATAAGACTATTTCGAAACAGATAAGTAGTGGAGAAAAACCAATCACTGAGATGGGTCTTTCAGTATCTAGTGCAGAAGAAAACTTGATTTCAACTTCAACAGCGGAAAGTACAATGAGAGTTTCTCCCATATTCACAACGGAAAATGTGATAACAAATATAGAGTTGCCAGAAAACCCACAGGTATTCTCCACTATTAACGGTTCTGGAAACAGAACCGAAGTGAATACTGAGCAGATTATAAGTAATGAAGAAAAAGTCCAATTAACTAGTGAAGGAGAAGAGTCTACATCATTAACATATATAGAATTACATGTAAGGTCGACTATCGAACATAATCCGAAAGACACCGAAATCTTTTCTACTGTTCGGAGTAGCTCGAAAGTTGAACAATATTCCACTGAAGTCCCCAAAACTAGAGTTAGTGTAGCAATATTGAATGAAGAGTTGAAGTCTGAAAAGGTGCCAGACAAGAAGGTAATACAAACCGAACCTGAAATAATATCAACCGTATCACATCATATCTCATTGAAATCAGAGTATACTTATGAGGAAACACATGAAGAAAAACAAAAACTTACTTCCGTATCAGAACTACTCACGAACAAAATGGATAAATTATCAACTGGAGAAATTCCAACTCTACATTTGGAAAATTCCACACTATCGAATGAGATAACTAATTCCGCTGAGTCTAAAATAGGAAAAAAACAAACAGAGCAATCTGTAATGACGGCATCTCTTACTTCCGAACAGTTTACCGAAGAAATACAAGAAGCCCAGCTTTTTCATTTTTCCGAGATACTGGCAGGTAGTAGAAGTATATGCCAAGAATGTACAAATCCGATAGAGACTTCAGAGATACAGTCCACTATCAAGCAAAAAAATGGACGCACTGAATTGATGTTTGACAAAACTTCGAAACCTTCTACTGAGGAATGGAAAAAATCTACTGCCGAACAGGAAGAAAAAGTTACTAAAACAGCAGAATCGAATATCTCAGAACATCCTCAAACTGGAGAGACTCTCCATTCTGAAATGTCTGTATCAATATTTTCCACTAAAGAAGGCATACCAATTTCTATAAAAGAAGAATGGTTTTCTCTTGCTCAAGAAGAAAAAGTAACCGATATATCGAAGTCAATTACTCAGAAAATTAGAACATCTGGAACATTACCACATTTTGAGGAGTCAGAGAGAATGTGGCACTTGAATTATTCCACTGAAGAACCTAGCACAACTCCTAAAGAAAAAACCTATACTAATGAACATAAAGAAAAAGTAAACGAAGCGACTGAGCTACCAAACCTGGAAGGTGCAGGAACTGAAATAACGTCTCATTTTACAAAGTTTGTAGAAACGACTCAGCCGAGTCCTTTCTCTGAAAAGCGTATCGAAACTTTTGGGACAGAATTAGAGCATAGTACTGAACATGAAGAAGTCAGTGAAACAACTAAATCTGCAATTGGAGAAAGTGAAAAAACTGAAATAACATCACATTATGGAATATCAGAACGAATACAGGGCACTAGTCTTTCCACAGAAGCACGTAACAAAATTTCTGGCGTGGAAATACAGTCCGCTTTCCCACAAAAAGAGAAAGTTACAGAAAGTATGGAATCAACAACAGAAGTTGAAAAAACTCCGCATTTTAAGATTTATGAAGTAACATCGAAAGTAAGCTATTCTGCTGAAGAGTATAACCAAACTTCTGGAATAGGAATAGAATCTACTATCGAAGAGAAAGTTTCCGGATCAAAATCGACAATGGAAGAAGGTAGAGAAACTGAAGTAACATTTCTTGTCAAATCAGAGAAAACATCTGTGTCTGAGTATTCAACTGAAGAAATTGAGTCCAGTATCCAACCTAAAGGAAAAATTACCAAAGCAACTGAATCCGAAAAAGAAAAAGGTGTAGAAATTGAAGGAACTTCATATTCTTCAGAAGAATATAATGACACTTCTGAAATAGGAGTCAAGTCAACTAATGAACTTGAAAAAAATATACCCGAAGAATCTACCATTAAACCAGAAATATATACTGAAAGATCTGTTTCTTCACGTGAAACGGGAGTTGAACTGCCAGTTACTTCGCTGTCAGAAAACTTGGATCAAACTAAATCAGGTTTTTTTGTTAAAGAAATTACTAATACTGTGGAATCTACCCTCGAATCTGGAAAAGAAATTACCAAATTATTTGAACTGCCAAGTGCAAAAATTTCTGAAACTGAGACTACGTCAAATTTAGACCAATATAAAACAATGTCGAAGTCAGATACAACAAAGGTGGGAGAATTGCTAAGTTCGATACAGGAGGTAAGCAAAAATAGCTTGGAATTTACGAAACAAGTGGATCAGGCCCAACTTTTTCATTTTGCTGAAAACCTGAAAACGAGTACGGTTTGCCAAGAATGTTATGAAACATCAACAGAAGGTGGAAACGGTATGTACCCAAAGGAAGTCAGTGTAAAAGAATCAACTATCCGAATGAATCTTTCAGGATCTATTGAAACGTATTCAATGCCAACTTTGAAATCGGCAGTAACAGTTCCTTTTGTAACTGAAGTAAAAGTATCAGAAAATACACACTCACGAATGAGCTCTTCTTTGACCAAGTCCGGAAACAGAACTGAGGAGGTAATCACTAAGAATGAAACAATCGAAGGAACTGGCCACGAAGAGAAGTATAACATATCAACTACGGGATACAGTATAAAAGATATGTTGAAAACAACCACCGAAGAATTGGAATTACAGACTGAAACAATGCCTGTAGAGAAAGAACAAACCGTCACGTCAAATGTTTATTTCAGTGAAGAAACTTCAGTAGGAAGAATTATATCGGTAGTCACAAATGAAGAAGTGATAGGAAGCGTTCCTCTAGAAAACATCACCCTGTCAAGTAGAATGGGAAATGCAATCACTTCTGAACAGGGAAACGAAAAAACAAAACCTTCTGGTTTAACGTCAACCCTTAATGTCAAAATTAGTATTGAAAATGTGTCACATCCAACATATATGAGTTCGAAACTTAAGGAGCCCAGTGAAGAAGTAGATGAGGCACAACTTTTTCACTTTTCTAAAGCTCTAGAAAATAGAACAATCTGCCAAGAATGTTCAAACGCCACTGAGAAATCGACAGAGAGCCACAAAAAAGTGGTAAGTCACGAAGTGAGTTCAGTAACTCATGAAAATGTGACCTTCAGCAAAGAATCTACAGTATCTCATACTCCAGAAGGAACACAATCGATGTTGTCAGAAAAAGGACATGGCGCTGTAACCATCAGTAGAGAATCTACTGGATCTCATACTTCAGAAGGAACTCAATCAAAACTGCCAGAGAAAGGACACGGTTCTGATTTCAACACAACAGGAATTACCGCAAAATCAAAACCAGAAGATTTTCTGCAAACACTTACTGAATTGTCAGGATTACACCTCACGATAACACCTGCAATGAGTTCTATTTCATTACCAGAAGAAGTCCAAGTACTGACAGAACTTGGCATTCAAGATGAGCAGTTTATAATTAAAACTGCTATCGAGAATATAACGGAAGAAAGTCGTCCTGCAACAAGTGCAACAAGTATCAAAACTGTCATAGTTGGACAGAAAACACATACTACTTCAGGTCCAACTAAAACAGTAGTGGTCATTGTCAACAACTCGGGTATGAAAATGGAAAAAATCAACGAGTCAGCTTTACAAAACCTCTTGAATAAGTCCATATCGGAAATTGATTTGGAATACATCGACCTCCACAATATATCGAAAGGATCTGAAGAATATACCAAGTCGGAAGAATCCGAGGAAGCTGGACATTTACTATTGAAGGGGGACGGCAAAACATGTAATCAAAGCGAATTCGAATCTAAACAAGCCTGCGTCTGTGACGTGGATGCTTATTTGACAAGTATCGAACACCATCTGGGAGATAATTTCAAAATGGATGTGAAACATCACAACTGTACTCAATTTGTGAGTTTCCGCGATGGTCTCATAGTCAACAACTCAACAAAACCCCTCAAACGTAGGAAGAGAAGTCTCTTATACTTGAGTAATAAGGATAGATCTAATAATGTAATTGAAAGCAATAACATCGATGAAGTTTTTAATGCTGACTATGAGCTGCAGGCAACAGGTAGAGTATAATGTGTTAGTTACTCACTTATCTAATTCTTATATTTACTGCAGGTACAAACATGATCGCACTTCCCGGAACTAAAGCCCATCTGTATTGCTATAACAGAGCTGAAGCTCTTTTGGAAGATGAGGGAGTTATTTATTCCTGGGAATTCAAGAGTGATATTTTAAAAAATGGTAAGTACCTATTTCCTATGGCCCGTTTTGCATCATGCAGGATATGTATGCAGAAAAGTGAATTGAACTGGATATTTTTCACAATAACTCAACTCATGATTTGAAGTGACGTTTTATTTAAGAAGGGTATCACGTTTTTTCTCATGTGCTATTTTTTCATTAGATCATATTAAGTTCCTTGGTGGTGAATTGAGTAGTTCTGCATATTATTTTTATTTCATTTATAATAACATACGGTTCACATTCTATGGCATTAACAAATCAAATGAAGGAACAGATTTCGACAATTTCCAGAAACTAAAGAGTCTAATATGAATATTACTGTATTACATCAAACCGTTATTTTCAACACCTCGACACGTGTTTCAATCACCAAGTGATCATCTTCAAGAGGAAGCTCAAACTCAATCTTCCTCTTGAAGATTATCACTAGGTGATTGAAACACCTGTCGAGGTGTTAAAAATGACAGTTTGGTGTTGGGTTAAAACTCCATTAATATTCATTACTACACCAAATGTTCCAAACAATTCAAAATCTAAATGAAATCCTGTAAAAACTGACTGGAAAAATATGTAGACCATCCATAGATGATCAGGAAAAGATGGGTTTTGTTAATAAATAATGATGTTGAGGTCTTCGTGAAGATTTATAGAATATAATCTTGCAAATTTTATGGTTTTCCATTCTTTACTTGTTTGAAGGAATTATTTGTTGTACAGTGTTATTGAATCGTTACGAGAATCGTAGAGTTTCTCACTCTACGATTCTCGTAGAAAAAAATGAATACAATTTTGTCAAAATCAACGATACTGGATCTGTATAATTATGAATGTTATAGTGATTCAACAATCAGGATCGAATTCTGAAGAAAAATAGTCTTTAGCAAGTTTCCAATCAGTAATTCTCGAAATGTGAACCGTTGCCACTTGTCAGCTCTTCGTCAAAAAAGTCTTAAAATCCGAATAATCTTGAGACTATCTACATTGTATCTAGTTATTGTGCCAGTGCACATGTAATACCCAACACTATTGCTATGACTGTACCTATTTTGAACTGTGAAGTTAAAAAGAAGATAATTGTTCTTAACCTGTTTTTAAAAATGTATCTAGTTAATATTACTGGAGTTTTTTCCCAACACGACACGTATCGAGGTGTTGAAAATAACGATTTGGTGTTGGGAAAAAACTCCAGTAATATTCATTACTACACCAAAGGTTCCAAACAGTGCATCATAAGTATGTATCTAGTTAGTGAACAGAAAGCAGTTATTTCAAAATTATTTCCTGCAAACGAAAAGGGACCTTAAATTAATCATTTTCAAACGAGAACCATCATGAATTTTGGAATCTCTATACAATACTCAGTGGATCAATCTTAATATACTTTTTATTCTGTTTTTCCGTTGACTAGCTGTCGCCTCTCTACGACAACAACTCTCAGAAGTCGAAACTTGTGCGAACTAAGGATTATCAAGATTCAATCTCTCAACGTGCGATTCATGGCATGGTTGGGTATGGTTTTTCAAACTGAAAATAACATATTTCGCCATTATTTCAAATTGTTCTCATTTTGTTTTAGTGGCCCACCCCGTAACTTTGGGTAATGTTCATTACAATACTATGCGTAATGTTCATCGAAGGAAATGTAATCATTTTGGAAAAAAAGTGGGCATATCGTATATTCAAAACCCGAAGTTCACAAACTGGTTGAATTGAATTAAAAATATGAATACTCTCCACAAATATGAATAAAAAGGCCCATACTATGGAACAAAATATCTAGCAAAGTTTCCGGGACCATTTTTTCCCAAATAAATATGGAACACCCTGATTTGAATCTAACGTGAATCGTCATTTTCGTACAGGCACTGTTGTAAGATTGTCTTGAAAATTTGTCTTGCAGTGCTTGTTCATCTCCATAAAAATAAAACTGAAAATAGAACGTTTAACTGTATTGCCAAATATGCACCAAACTAACTGACTATTTATAAGACAAGTATACTGAGGCACCAGTCAATCTAATAATAACACTGATTATCTTCATACATGACTCAACTTCTGAAGGAAGCACCAAACTCTTACGAAGGTTCGAAATAGATGAACTCTTCAATCTAGCATACCACTATTATAATCTTCATGCAGTCATTGTTCACTGTGGTTCTGGCGTTGAATCTGGCCATTATTAAGCATTGTTCAAAGACGAAACGGACTGATTTAAGTTTGACGATAGTCATGTCACAAAATATTCTGACAATATCTTGAATTTATTTGATCCTCTGGAGACTCCCTACATTTCATTCTATGATCTGCCAATGTCGTGGCAGATCAACATCTACAGATGCAGGTTTTTCCGGGTTTTCATGCAGCTGAAAAAGCAAATGCGAATCAATTAAACTCGCCCCGGAGCGCCAAATAATTTTTGTTGTTGTTTCATAATTTGTATTATTTTCTTTCTTATTTCAACATTAACATGAAATGAATTTTGAAAAATATATGTGAAAATTTCCATTTTACAATTCTGAAGAATGGGTGAGGATGTATTTACGTGTGAGGGATTTTAATGAAAACACCTAATAAAATAACAATTTCATTTAATTACGCAAAATACAACTTAAAACTTTCGATACCCACACTCGGCCATTGTTTTCGGAACATATATTTACGAATTGGTTTTTTAGGTGAAATAATGCCATCAAATGAAAATCCTCTCATTATCTACAACGTGGAAATGAAAAATGCTGGAAACTACACCTGCACCCAAACAATAAACGGGAAAAAGAAAACCTATGACCATGAGTTGGAAGTTGTCACTTTTCCTGTATATAAAATTCAAACGACCATATTTTATTCGGTGAATGACACTTGCTCTCTGAAGGATGGTGATTTTTTGTATTCCTTTTTGCCGAAAATGATGGGCCCAATATTGTGCGGCGAGTCAGGAAAATTGTGTACAGTCGATGTAGCACGACCACGATGTTTTACGAAGGTGAGTTGAGTACTACATTTCCACAATACTAAGCACTAAATTCTTAGGAAGTTTCTTTAATGAATAAAATACGTTATCCGTTATTGTTTGATCATTTAGCTGCGTGTGTATAATTTAAATAGAAGATGATAAAATGTATAGAACAACAATCTGACAACAATGTTTTCGTTTCAATGCTATAATATTTCTGAAAATTTAGTGCTTACTATCATGGAATTTCAGCACAGTAATGATGAATATTCAAATGGTTGAAAATATAAAACGAATACATGAGTTAGTGAAAACCGTATAACGGTCAATTATACAAGTGTATCTTCAGTTCCAATTTTTATAAATGACAAATTGGAAACTGTTGAATAAAATATGAATAAAATAAGTAAAACAATGTATGTTAAACGGTTTTATTGAAAAAGATAATAATGATAAAGATAATGTATTAAAAACTGAAAAATAATTCGGAAGGTCCTAAGTAGTAGTCATCAAACCACTCACCTCAGAAATCTACAGTATTGATCAGATAAAAACAATAATAAAATTGTTCGGTGTAGCGTAACCTGAATAAATATGTGATTACTACGCGTAACCTGAATAAATATGTTAATACTACGCCCAACGATTTTATTATTTTTTTATCCGATCAATACCGTAGATTGCTAAGGAGAATAGATTATATTGGATTTGCATCTTTTCCATAGTATTAGTCAAGACCTGTCATTTGATACCCATATTGAGGTACCTAGTTGTGAAATAATATGCAATCCGCCATTTTGTAGGTGCGGCCATCTCAAATTACAATGATACAGAATTTATTAAATTGTATTCTCATCAAAACTCAATGTGTGTATCAAATTTCAGATCATTCTGTCAACAGGAACAGGGTCAAACTTTAATTACTAAATTTGACCCAATCAATCAAACAGGGCAATCTAAATAAAACCGTTTAATAAAAACTGATTCACCAACATTTATAAAAATTCATGTCTTTTTACCACTAACGCTAGAGTTCGATTTTTCTCTGTACGTTGACGAGTTGTCCTGTAAAAATTCGAGACACTTATAGAAATAAACGGTAACTTTTTTTTTCATCATTTTTGTTTCTATGAGATCTATATTCTAATATAGTGAAATATAGGTAATATTTCGTTTTTCAAGATTCCTAATCTGTTTCAGTGCAAATTTGACTTTTTCCATTTTGAATTATTTGGTTTTGTCATTTTTTCTGCCTCTTCCTACAAATTTCTGAAAATGACTTCACTGATTTGTGAATTATCCACTTTTATTTTTGACTGCAACAATACCATATTGTTATTAATAAACAATGATTCGCGCATTTCAAATGCGCATTTTTGTATTTTTATTGTCAATGAACCACACTTTGATAGTTCTTTAGTTATTTCAAAGTTACCTCATTCCTCGTATAATAACAGCAAGTTGAGGTGTATCAACAGTATCAGTGCTCTCGTCAACAGCCAGTGAAATATTTGTAAATTCCTTAATTTCCTTCTTCAGTTGAAAAGCCAAATTTTCAAATAAATATTTAGTCTTGAAGCGAGTGTTTCTTGACAGCAAAATATTTTGAATTATTGACTTTGAAATGGAAATGAAACATCGTCAACTTTCAACATACAATCTTTAATAAAATCACGCGCACGACACAAACAAATGCACCATGCCTTCACAATTACTAGACTTCACAATCACCACTTCGCAGTACAACTAGAAGCCTTGTCCGACCGTATCGCTTCAATTACTCGACTCCACAGACTCACGTCGCGCCGACGCACTCCTTTTATTTTGATAAGGAAGGTTCTAGTATAGGCTCGAAGTGCATTCAATCTTTGTATATAGACTAACCTTTACAAAGACTCTATTGTTCTCAACAAAAATAATAAGGTATTTCCGCTTGTTGCTAAGAGATAGCGATACTGTCTATGATTCAGTTTTTTACTAGCACTATTAGAAGTATAAAAGCTCTAAAAAATATGATTGGTCCTTCTGTGATACATTGCGATCACGGGCCGTATCTTTGACACGACCGGATTATAGCGTTTTGCATCATATGCAACAACAAAATAAACTTCAACTCATTGCGAGGATTCACGAATATACCTAAATTTCATTAGTTTCCTGATTAACTTTTACTTCAAAAATAATTGAATCGAGACTAAAAGGGAAAACGGAGTTCTAAATAGACGGATAGCATCATCATATTTTGTCCTATTTACACAAAACATTAGCGAATTTTACATCATCAACCTTTTATTTATACGCCATAATCAAGTATAAAACTTAAATCTGAAGTTTGAAGCCTCGGTTTCAGTTTTATACTTGATAATGGGGTCAAATCCGAAACCGGTCGTATAAATAAAATCTACCAGTGGTAATTAGCCACAAGTGTTTTCATTTATTTCATTAAAGTTATCATGAATTACTATAAAATAAACAAGTCATCAATCACACATATTATTCTATAAAAATAGTTTCAGACACAACTTCTGGAAATGTCTGCCCCCTCTATTATTTTGATTATTCTTGCAGAACGATGATAATTTTTTCAACGTAACTGTCACAGCTACAATGAATGACATTGACAGCATTTTCCCTGGACTGGATGAAACAAAATGTAGCATCAACTGTAAATTGAAAGCTTACACAAATATGGTAGGACTAGTTTACAAAAACGAAGAAGTTCTGAAGAAGCTGCCCGGTATTAATCTGAAGCAGTAATGAGAATTGTTCATATTTTTGACAGTATCATTTTCAGTTCTCTCCAGGATCAATCCTAATCTACAATTTTTGACAAATGTCACTTTCTCCGGTGGAAAGGCGGAGGTATCCAAACCGCCGAAGATTATCACAAGCTGTGAGGGTGGCTATGGAATTGAAAAATTGAAACAGAGAATATGCGGTAAGTATCTTTACTTTTGTAAATCTTTCATTAGTTGTTTCTCAATATTATTGAATGAAGCACGAATTTTACTTCAATTTCGGTTTTATTGGCTTTCAAAAACAAATCATCTGAAGGAACAAACTGTTGAATAAAATATGAATAAAATAAGTAAAACAATGTATGTTAAACGGTTTTATTGAAAAAGATAATAATGATAAAGATAATGTATTAAAAACTGAAAAATAA